GGTCTCATTTTTTAATCCAGACCATTAGTCTACATCTTTTTAGTTGGGAGTGGAGGACATTTACATTTAAAATTATTATATAAAGAGGTTTGCTACTTGTGAATTTGTTTGGTGCTATTCTGTTTCTTTGAATTATTGGTATTTCTTTTCCCTCTTCCATTTTAATGGAAGGTTTGCTGAGTTGCTGCACTTGACATGGGTATTTCCTGCAAGGGTCTTGTTTGCCTATCCTGTTCACGGAGTCTATGCTGTCATGTGATCACATGGGCTATCTTCATTCTTCCTCCCTGTCAAGTACTCCTTTAAGAATGTTCTGCCTGGCCAGCTTGGTTGTCCTGAATTTGCCTTAATTTGCGTTTGACTTGAAATAACCCTTTTTTTCATCATTTTTAAAAGATAGCTCTGCAGGATATAGCATTCTTGATTCACAGTTATTTACTCTCAGAGCTTGAAATATTTCATTCCATGCTCTTCTGGCTTTTGTGATTGCTGAATTAATTCTGGTATTTCTCCCTTTGTGTGTGAGTTGACATTTTTCACATGATGTTCTAGAATTATTGCTTTACTTTGTATTTTTGACATCCTGACTATGATGTGTCATGGAGAGTTTTTTTCTCCGGGTATGTCTGTTTCAAGCTCTCTATGCCTCTTGTATTTGGACGTCTGCTTCCTTTTCTAACTGTGAGATATTTTCTGTTGTAATTTCCCTTAATAATCTGTCTGATGCATTTTATTTTATTTCTGATCCTGTTTACATGCCATGAAACCTCAGGTTTGCTCTCTTAAGTGTATTCCAGACTTTTTGAAAGTTTTGTTCATGTTTCTTAATTTTTTTCCCACATACAGGTCGCTTTTTTTCTTCAACTTTGCCCTGTATCTCTGAAATTTCATCCCGTCACATCTGTTATTGATCATCTCTGTTTTGGGTTTATTAGATTGACCATTTCTCACTCTACATTTCAAACTCCTTGCTGAATTTTTCCTCCATATTCTATTTGCCTCCAATTCACTGACTGTTTCTTTCACTCTGGAGACTGTCTCCAGAGGAGAATTCCTCTGTTCATGTGTCTGACTGCTTGAAGCTTCTATATAATCACCAATTCTTTTAAAAGCAGCACTCTGAATTATTTCCAAGGCACTGGATTTTTCTGTGTAGTTTGGACTCCCTTGCAGAGGAGCTGGTCGGTTGGGGACGGCTCGTACGTGGTCGTGTCATGTTCTTTGTGCTTCTTGGTTGTTTTCACACCTCCGTTACAGAAGGTTTGCTTTTCAGTTTTGACTTTCCCTTATTCCAACACTATTTGGATGTTTTGTTTCCTCCGATTCTTCTCAGAGGGTTATCTGCATGAGGCTTAGCCAGGGGCCTGGAGAAACTGGTATTGAATGTCAAATGTCCCGCCTTGGCTATGTGCCAACAGGACCAAGCGTGGGCTCACACCCCAAGCCCCGAAACAAACAGATGGGATCAGAACTCCACCACCCAGTGGACTCTGCAAGCCCACGAGGAGCAGGTCACCACACATCAGACCTATGACAGGGTAGGTACTATCCAGGGATTGTGGTCAGTGCCACAGGCCCAAAGTAACCTCTGGACCACAGTTGTATAAACTGCCTGTCCTGAAGCAACCACGGGAACCTCAGAAGTAAAAATTCTGTGCCTCCACTGACCTTAGATACCACTGGAAACAAACCCCATTCTCTCAGGGGACCCTGAGAACATTAGTACCAAGACTTGGGTCCCAGACTGACCTCTGAGGACACTAAGACTGAAAGGCTTGGTCCACTGGTGTCTCGTGTCCCTCAGGAGTAAAGAGACTAGTTTTGGGGTACTCTCTGGAGCCAAGAGCGGAAATTCTGTTCCCTCGCTGCTCTCTGGTCCCACAGAAGCTGAAAGTCTGGACCTGAGATACTTTTGGGCTGAAACCGGAGACCTGGACCGGCAGGGCATCCTTTCATGTCCTTCTCCTGTGTTGTCGCCCTAGCGAAGACCTCAAGCGCTGTGAGTCGGGAAATGCACAGCCCCGCTTTGTTCCTGATTTTCGATCTTAGCTGAATTGAGTTTTTCTCCACTTAGAATAATGTGGGCTAACGTTTGTTATGTGCAGTCTTTCCTTTAGTTGCAGTACAGTCCCTCCATCCCCAGCTTCGCCAGACTTGCATGAGGAACAGGTGTTGTCAAAGGCCTTTTCTGTATCTAAGGAGATGATTGTATCGTTTCTATCTTTGAATGTACAACATTATTGATTTATGTATGTTGAACCAGCTCTGCATTGCTAGGATTAAAGCCAACTCATTCATGATGAATGATCTTTTTTAAATATGATCTTGAATTTGATTTTCCAGTATTTTTTTTCTTTTGGTCTTTTTTTAAGACAAGGTCTCCCTGTAGCCCCAGCTGGCCTGGAATTCACTATGTAGACCAGGCTGGCCTTGAACTCACAGAGATCCACGTACCTCTGCTGGGATTAAAGGCATGCACCACCACGCCCAGTGATTTTCCAGTATTTTATTTAGAATTTTTGCATCCATGTTCATCAGGGAGGTCATTCTGTAATTTTCTGCCCTCCTTCCCTGTGTTTATCTGGTTTGGGTATCAGAACAATACTGGATTCATTAAAAAATTTGGAAGCCTCCTTTCTTTTCGATTTCATGGGATAATGTAAGTAGTATTTGTGTTAGTTCTTTTCTGACATCCTGATAGAATTCTGTAGTGAATCCAGCTTTTCCTGAACTCTTTTTAGTTGGGAGATTTTTGTTGTTGTTGTTGTTGTTGTTGTTGTTAAAAATATTTTATTTATTATTTTTATTTTATATGTATGAGTGTATTGCCTGCATGTATGTGAGGTCAGAAAAGGGTGTCGGATCCCCTGGAACTGGAGTTATGGATGGTTGTCAGGAGCCATGTAGGTGCTGAGAACCAATCTTAGGCCTTCTGCAAGAGCAGCCAGTGTTCTTAACTGCTGAGTCATCTCTCCAGTCCCCTAGAAGAATTTTTAAAATTAATACTTCAATCTTATTTCTAGTTATGGGTGTTTCATTTATTTATTTCTTCTTGGTTTAATTCTGTTATGCTGTATGCATCTGAAAATTTATTCTTTTTTTCAGGTTTTCCAATTTAGTGGAATATGTTTTTAAAGTATGTCTTTATGGTTATTTTAATTTCATTTGGTGTCTGTTGTAATGTTTCCCTTTTCGTTTTTGATTTTATTAATTTGGGTTCGCTCTTTCTCTTTGATAATTTGTCTGAGGGTTAATATCGTTTGCATTTTCGAAGAACCAGCTCTGTTTCATTGATTCTTTGTGTATTTTTGTTGCTTGCTTGTATTTCATTAATGTCAGCCCTCATTTTGGTTATCTCGTCCCCTCTGCTGTTTTAGGGTGTTGTATTCTTCTTCTTCCTAACGAAGTTACTAATTTGAGATCTCTAATGTTTTGTTTTCTGGTTTGTTTTGACACGGGGTCTCTCCTGCAGCCCCAGTTAGCATGGAACGTAAACGAGGCTGGCCTTGCTTCACTAAGATCTGCCTGCGCCTACCTCCGCAGTGCTGGGATTAAAGACCTGAGCCACCACGTTTGGCTCTAATTTTTTTCACGTCTATCCTAAACATTATAAACTTTTGCTTTAATACTGTCCACATGTTTTCACTCTGTTGTATTTTCATCTCCACCCGGTTCTAGGGATTTTTAATTTCCTTCTTGATTTTCAGTGACTCAATGGTATTAGTCACTTTGCTGTTGCTGTGATAGAAACAACGTGACCAAAGGAACTTGTAAAAGGAAGTGTTTATTTAGTTCACAGTTCCAAAGGGACAAGAGTCCATCATGGTGGGGAGGCATGGCGGCAGAGGCGGCTGGAGGAGGAGCAGAAGCTAAGTACCCACATCTTCAAGCGGGCACAGGAAGCAGAGAGAAACTGGAGATCTGGCAAGGCTTAAAAACTCTCTAAACCCACCGCAGTGATGTGCTTCCTCCAGCATGGCCTTCTAAGACTTCCCCAAACAGCAGCACCACCTGGGGACAAAATGTCCAAATACGCAGAGCCTTTGGGGAACATTTTCATTCAAACCACCAGAGCAATTATCACTAGTGTGTTATTTAAGCTCCCTAAGTTTGTATATGTTCTGTAGCTGGTAGTGCTATCGATACCTGGGTTTATTCCATTGTTGATAGATAAAACACAGGATGGCATTCTAATTTTAACTGTTTTGATGTGTATGAGTGTGTTGCCTACATGTGTGTAAGTGCACCCATGTTGCACATGCCCAAGGAGGACAGAAGACAGTGTTGGATCCTGTGGAACTGGAGTCACAGAGGGTTGTTAGCACCAATGTAGGTGCTGAGTCTTCTGCAAGAACAGCCAGCCAGCCCTCTTAACCACTGAGCCAGCTCTCCAGCCCCAGTATTTTGATTTTCCTATACTTGTTGAGACTTGATTTGTATCCTAATATGTAATTGATTTTGGAGAAAGTTCCATAGACTGCTAAGAAAAATGTGTATTCTTTAAGTTTGGGGTAGAATATTAGTAGAGGTGTGTTGGGACCATTTGATTTATGATATTGTTTAACTCCAGTGTTCCTCTGCTTAATTTTTGTTCACACAATCTATCTATTGGTAATATTTGGGTTTTAAAGTCAGCCACTATGACTGTGTTGAGGTTAATCTATGGTTTTAGATCTAGCAGTATTTGTTTTCTGAAATTGGGTGCCCCTGGATTTGTAATGTTCTTTTGAATTGTTCCTTTAATGCATATATAGTGACCTTTCTTGCTGGTTCTGACTTGTTTGATTTGAAGATTATTTTTACAGACATTAAAACAGCTACTCCTGATTCTTTCCTAGTTCCATTTATTTGCAGCACCCTTTTTTTTTTTTAATCCTTTTACCCTAAGGCTATTGTTGATGGTGAGGTGAGATTCTTGGAGGCAGCAAAAAGATGGGTCCTGTTTTCTAATCCAATCTGCCAGCCTGTGTCTTTTTATGGGAAAAATCAGAGTTGTTACTGACAGGTATGCATTAATTCCTACCACTTTGATGTTTTATGATGTCTCTTAGATATCTTTTGATTAGCTGGCCTGGCGTTGTTGATGTATTTCCTGTGACATCTGGGTGTGTCTATCCCTCTGTTAACCCTGAAACACTCCCAGCATCCTTCTTCTCTGGAATGCTCATAATTACCATTACCAAGTTTTTAACATAGAAAGCACTATTTCTCTTTCAATTTTAGTAGATAATTTTCCTGGGAATAGTAGTCTGAGTTGACAGTTGTGTTCTTTCAGAACTTGAATACATTTTTCTAGGCCCTTCTGGCTTTAAAAGTTTCTGTCAAACCACCAGGTGTTACCCTCACGCACACTTACAGATGACTTAGCCGTCCTCTTTTGCAGCTTTCAATATCCTTTCCTTCATTTTTTTAATTAAAAAAATTATTATTTTTATTTTAGGTGCATGAGTGTATTGCCTGCATGTATGTAAGTGCACCTGCGTCATGCCCAAGGAAGTCAGAAGAGGACATCGATTCCCCTGGAACTGGAGTTACAGGTGGTTGTTAGCCACCATGTGGGTGCTGGGAATTGAACCCAGGTCCTCTCAAGAGCAGCCGGTGCTCTTAACCACTGAGCCACCGCTTCTGTCCCTTTTGCCTATGTTTTTAATGTTTTAAATATAATGTGCTATGGAAGTTTCTTTCTCAGTCCCATTTGGTAGACTGTAGGCCTTTTGGATCTGGATGGGCATGTCTCTATAGGTTTGGAAATTTTTATTTTATGATTTTTCTCAAAATACTTACTATGCCTTTCATAGCTACTCCTCTCCTTCTACACCCAGGATCCAAACATTGGGTCTTTCTATGGTGGCCTACTTTTCTTAATTTCTCATGACCCTTACAGAATCATCCAGTCTCTCAACCTTGTCTTTCAGCCCTGATGTTCTAGTTTCCACACCAGCCATTCTACTAGTGAGGCATTCTGCTAGTGAGACTTTCTGCTGAGACTTTTATTTGCCTATTGAGTTTTTCATTTGCAGACCAGAAAACAAACAGACAAAGAAACAAACTTCATACTACAAGGCCAGTCATCCAGACCTAAAAGTGAACAAACCATCGTATTGCAAGGCCAGTATTACAGTGAAGCCAAAACTGCATTAAAAAATACCACCAGAGAAAGAAAACTATCAGCCAATTTTCTTGATGATCAAGAGTACACAAATGCTCAATAAACTCCAGCAAACTGTATCAACAACTCATTGAAAAGATCACACACCATGAGCAGATTGGTTTCATTCCAGCCACACCAAGATGGTTCAAGATCTATGAATTTGATCACATCAGTGGATCCACATCAGCAAACTTAATTCAGTGCATAAATAGAATCAAGGATAGAAAATCACCTGACCATCCCAAAACATGCAGAAAATGCTTTTGACAAAACTCAAAGTCCCTTCATGAAAAAGACCACTTTTTTAAAAGGAAGAAAGGAGAGAGTTTATTCTGGAGCCAAATATGAGTGGCCATGGCCCAGGAACACAGATTCAGGTCCCAAATCCATGTTTCAGTGTGGAAGCAGTTTCATGAAGTTTTTATAGTAACAGAACAAAGGAAAGTCATAAATCAAGACACTTTTCAAATACATTGATTAATACATTCAGTAGGCAGGTCATAGGGTAGGGGGCGGTGACTCTACCTTAGGTCTCAGATGCTTTCTGATGGCATTCTTAGCCTTTTGTTTGGTGGAACTATTTCTTTGTTAAGCTAATATATTTTATTGGTCACAACATATTAAGTCAGAAATAGACATGGGCACAGAATGGCTATATGGGGGGCTAAAGATAGCCCAAGATAATTGAAAATAAGCTCTGAGTCAGCAGCATTCCAAACTCTCCACAGTCATTGAAGTGTTAATCAATTGGTCGGCCTTACAGGAAGTTCAGTTCAAGATGCAGGATTTTTCTGACAACTTTCTTTCACAGTCCCCTATGGGTCAAGCATC